GCATGCCACTTGTGACGTTCCAGTTTGTTGCACTTTGATGTCTGTTCACAGAATGCATTTGGCATCTATTGCTCGTTGTTGTTGTTATTGTTTTTCCGCTAAATGAATGTGTCTAGCGGCGTTGTGCAACAGGGAATTTACCGTAATAATGTATAAACTACACCTGAAAGTATTTTTGTATATCTGTATTTACTTGCATACCTACATACATCCTAAAAAAGGCAGCAAATGCATAAAATTTTACTTAAATAAAAAAATATATCTCGGTATGTAAATAGGCATGTAATTAAGCGTATAGAAATTCAGGTTCATGAAGTCAAGCGCACAAATAATCTGCAAAGCTTACTCACGTGCCTATTAATGTGTAACTACACAAATACATATTTATATACATACATTAGGTTGTACCTTATATGGAAAATTTTAAAAAATTCTACCAAATACTTCTGAAATGGGTTTCAAAGGATTTATTTTATAAAGATGAATTCGTATACAGGGTTACAGCTTAATTAGCAATTATTTTTAGTTGTGACACAAACATTTAGAAAATTATGAAAAATGAATGAAAACAAATCTACAAATCCATTTAAGGTTTTTATAGCACTAAGTACGCCCAGCGGTTGAAATTCAACAACTAAAATTAAGGTGAGCTGAGGTGAGTTAAGGTGAGCGGAACTGAGTTTAGTTGAGTTAAGGTGAAGTGAATTGAAGTGAAGTTAGTTCAGGTGAGGTGACTTTAGATAAGTTAGGGTTAGTTGAGCTGAGGTGGGATGGATTGAGGTGAGATAAGATTGATTGAGGTGAACAAAATTAGCTGGGGTGAGTTAAGCTGAGGTGGGTTGAAGCTAAGTCAGATGCGTTGAGCTTAATGGGTCGATTATCGATAGCAAGCGAACTTCAGTTGCGTTACTAGTTGCCGAAACGATATTACAGATGGCATCAGGCAACTTTCAACTGACAACTGCAGTTGTTATAAAGTGTGTATACAGGCAACTGCACCTTTGTGGTTGCTGGGAAGGTTTTTGGAGCGTATTTAGGAGCGAAAATTGAAAAGTATGTCACATATTTTACTTTTTAATAATTTGAACAAAACTTATATTTTGCAATGCAGTTACAGAATATGGTGAAAATAACATAACAATAACTTGAAACTTTAGTTCCCGTGGAGTACGCCCGTTTGGCGGAACAAAAGCGAACACTGATTGCAATTTTTTTCCTTTACCAACTGAAGCACCTCTTTGAAAACTACCGACACACTAATTTTTCCAAACTAAAGTCATTGCTGTGTCACTTCCTTCTGCGAAAAATCGAAGAGGTGCGCAAGATTTTAGGAGTGTAGGTATTGAAGTTGAATGAAGTAGTTCATCTTTTTATTAACCAATTATACTACAGCTTCTTTTGGCAGTCCTGAATATGTTTTGAAAGTGAACACAAAACGATAATAAAAGAAAAACCTAGAAAACATTAACTTTTGCTTACAGTGCACGTGGTAGCTCTGGAGGATTGGCATTATCCTTTAAATGTCGCCTGATTGAGGCCGCGTTCATGCACTTCTCTCCCTCTTAAACAAATAATTGTGCTGAACTTAGCTTTATTGCTGTTTACAGCCACTTGCTGGCAGTCGAACTATGAATTTTCGTTTATCGATAACTCTACCGCAACTGACGATAGTTACCATTCGTAAGACAAATTTTTTTTCAGTCGCGTTGCCAGCTGGCAACCGAACTTGCTATTCGTAATCGACCCATTACACTCAAGTCTTACTTGCTGGTCCGCGAAGCTGCTGCGCTTGTCATGAGAACAGCCCAGCCAGCAAAAAATCTGAAAATTAATCCGAAAATGGGAAGAAAAGTGGATGAAACGCGGATTAGGTCTACGAATGTATCGAAAAAGGGTACGTTTCAACAATTTTTGTGAAAATTTTCTGATTCAATTTTTCGTTGACAAAACGTACTGGGGAACTATGATTAAGAGCGAAATGAGCTGTTGAAGGTAATTTTAAAAACAATCAAAATTTTTTGATTTTCTGGCCGCCATGTTGAAGGCTGATCAATCCGCTTCCGTTGTGTATGGAAAGTTTAAAGAATTTGCCCGCACCACTAGTATACTCTAGCCACTAGCGCCGCGGCACCCACATTGGGAAAGCCTGCCATAGAGTATTTTTTCCTCCACAAACACTTCGCTCCCTACCTTAACGTATATCTGTAAATTTGAAGTACATATTTGCCCACGCCCAATCCACTCGTACACTTGCCTTCTTACCTTCGCATTATTCTTTGTTCTTATCCCACGCATTTGCTGTCTTATGGTTGCTCATTTATTATTTGTTTATGCTCCTTAAAGGTAAATGACATTTTTGTCCTGTGTGAATACTTTTGAAGAGCACGTTCCAAGAGCTGACTAAGTTATTTATTTATCTTTGTCAATGTTGTTGCAAATTCCTCTTTAAAATTTCTTTCTTTGACCTTTGGTGGCTGCAAAATATCTTTAAGTTATTTTGTGAAGTCAATGCTTTAGAGTGGCTCTCTACTGTTGAAAGTGAAGTCTTACAAATTTTTTAATCGTCTATTACTAAGTTGCATATTAACAATCCTCTACAATAAATGATTGATATTTTAAAATTTTAGACTGGAAGAAGGCAACAAAAGTACCGGTCTGTGCATGAAATTAATTCAAACTAAACCTGCTACCGTCAAACCACCGATCTCCTCGGTATTGCGGTATCTTCCTGTACTTTTATGGGTGTATAATTTGCACAGCAACCTCCAAATTCCTTAAAGTTCTGTTTCGGTCCGTAAAATACTGTACTAACTTGTAGCAAACCTCTGTTAGGTAAACTTAAGCCGAAGTAGGATCGCCCGTTGTGATATTAATTTGATATTTTACTGGTCCTTTCTGCACCGTTTCGAGTCTGAGACGAAACATTGATGGATTTATCCTCTCCTTTTAAAGATTACAAACTACGATGTCCTTTTGTGTATAATTGTTAAAATGTATTTTATTGAAAGTATTTCTCATCGCTAACTAAATATGACTCTTCCCCACTTTTCTGGTAATATGTACATGGATTCTGCGACAGTAAAGCTGCTCGTCTTTGGAGCGTAAGAAAGTATTAAGCCAATTTTTTATGCTTTCGTACTCCTGTAAAGGCGTAATGGTGCAAAAATTGGGCTATAAGGCGGCTGGGTTAAGTCTTCCCATCTGGTACCATCGAGATAAGTTTTGACCACTTGTTCGACATGCGGCCGCCAATGCCTGAAGTGAGTCCGTCGATAGTCTGACCACTTTTCAGAAGGTCATGACACAGGATTCCCTTCTGGTTTCATCAAATGCAGTGCAAATCTTGCTGCCATGGATATTTGCTTTTGCCTTCTATGATGACCTTTCTTCGCGCTCCATATCGGTTGTGTCAAAGCCACCACTTTTGAAAAGTCGAAACCAGTATTCACGGGTCACACGGCAGCCGATAACTTTCTGGTGCACTTTTCTTCATATGGAAGCAAAAAACCCTTGCCTCCCGCGAATAAGAGTCTTGTAGGCACAAAGACGGCTATGTCAGGCACACGAAAAAAATATGTGGCTTACAATCTAATGAATAGAAACAAGTAAGAAAGTCTAAGTTCGGGTGGAGCCGAACATTAAATACCCGGCGCAAGTATTAAATATAGGTTTTTTCACCTTTCCGAAACCTACTGCTAGATGGTAAGCCGGGGTGTATCAATTTTGAGTAAATTAGCGTCCTTAAATTTCGAAATATTGCAGTTTCAAGCATTTCTGAAATTTACCGTTATATGAAAAGCGGCCGTAATTTTAGTCCGATTTCAAAAATATTCAACGGTTTGCTTATATGTGGCAAGCACAATAACCACACCGGGTTTGGTACAAATTGGTAGAACGGTTACCGATATACACATATGTGATCATAAGTGGGCGGTGCCACGCCCATTTCCATTTTCCAAAAATTTATAATATTCTTATTTTTCGTCTGAAAATTATTACAAATATCAATTTTGAGTGAATTGTCTTCAGTAGTTACTAAAATATCGCAGTTTTCGTATTTCTGGAAATTACCGTTATATGGGAAGTGGGCGTGGTTACTGTCCGATTTCGCCTATTTTCAATACCAACCTACCTTGGATTAACGGAAAGCTACATACCAAATTTCGTTGAGATATATCAATTTTTGCTCGAGTTATCGTGTACACGGACGGACGGACAGACGGACAGACGGACGGAGAGACAGACATGGCTTAATCGATTTCTCTATTCATTCTGATCACTTATGTATACATTTGTCTATATCCATCTCGATTCGTTTTGGCTGTTACAAACAACCGTTATGTGAACAAAATTAATATACCCTTGTGCACAAGTGCGCTCGGGTATAAAAACTGCAAAATATGGCTAAATGATGACGCTTTGACATGGAATAGGCTTCATCATTGTCCGGTATTCGTAAAAACTACTGGTGCCCTCTGTTAGCTGCCCTCTAAAACTTATTGTTATCGAATATCGGTTTTCTAACGAAAGTGTGCATATGGATAATTTTGTTTTTTCTATTATGAATTATTTACTTCTACTTAGTAAGGATTTTAATCCCTAAGCGCGGCTGAAAGCCGCCTACGCAGAGAGAAGTTCTGCGCAAAAATACTTCCGCCCTTCTTTTCCGGCAACACAGAAAGGAGAATTCTACTTAGTAAGGGTTATAATCCCTAAGCGCGGCCGAAGGCCGCCTACTCAGAAAGAAGTTCGTTTTCATGTATGCACTATTTCGGTTTTTGTCATATGCATTACTTCGGTTTTGAGTCGAAACTGTGCATGTATGCATTACTTCGGTTTTTGTCATATGCATTATTTCGGTTTTGAACCGAAACTGTGCATGTATGCATTACTTCGTTTTTCTCATATGCGTTATTTCGGTTTTCAAACGAAAGTGTGCATGTATGCATTATTTCGGGTTTTTCATATGCATTATTTCGATTTTCAACCGAAACTGTGCATATATGCATTATTTCGTTTTTTTTCGTATGCATTATTTCGGTTTTTTTCATATGCATTATTTCGTATGCACAGTTTCCATATGCACAATTTCAGGGTGCCTAAGTAAGTATATCTCGTTCCGACCAGGAAGTCGTTGGCTGTCATACTTTACCCAGAACTTGCTTTGTTCTTTCATATCGCCCCCTAATCGCCTAAAATATGCAATCAATTTTTTTTCAAAATTTTATTTTTGATGCAGAAAAGCTTCTAGATTCTCTGGAAATATTTCCGCATCAAAAAGAAAATTTTGAAAAAATTTCGCTTATATCTTTTTGGTGATTAGGGCTCGATATCGTTACCTATACGTGAAAAGGTGCCAAGTCCAGTTTTTTATATTGTTCAGGAGAGACGAAAAATCGACGTAGTTTCGCATTATCTATAATTTTGCATCAAAAACAAAATTTTAAAAAAGACTGTACTAGCCACCTTTTCACCTTTAAAGTATGTTCAGACGGGCCGCTAGTCGAGCAATTAGCCAATCTCCCTCAAATAAGGTGCTAATTAAACTCGATTTACCATACAAAACTTCAATCCTTAATTGCTCGATTAGTTCTTAATTGAGTGCTAATTGTATCAATGCTTTCATGCAACCCTGCTGGGTATGTTTAATTTTAACTTGGAGGTATATTTATTGAACAATTAGCAATCAGGTGTTTGATTCTGGTCTTTTTTTACAGCTGATATTCCATGGGGAGGGGAAATTGAATTTTCAAATTGTACCTAAGTTTCGGTAAAACTTTACCTAAAAGTAGATAAATGTATCTAAAATTTAATATGTAAAGAGGAAAACTTTTTTTGATGCCATATCAACTTCTGGACTCATATTAAAAAAAAAAAAATTCGCTACGAAAAGAGTCCCTTCGAGCAGTTCGAGACAAAGCTATTTTTTTGAAAACGTGAATCTCTTTCCTTTGAGTTCTTCGATGAGACGTTTCAAAAATAACCACCCTTTTGTATCATATGTATGCTCCTTTACATAGGAGGGAGGCTATTGGGCATGCTACCCACACAAGAAAATGCGCTGAAGTGTGAATAAAAATAAGAATTGATTTCCTGAAAAGTTATTTGACTACGTTCTAAATGTTCCTAAAATCGTGTGTTAGTACCGAATGTACTTTTAATCGAGCAGCTGACTGTGTGTGAACACCAAACAGCTGTAGCTCAATTTNTTGACTACGTTCTAAATGTTCCTAAAATCGTGTGTTAGTACCGAATGTACCGAAACAGCTGTAGCTCAATTCGAAGGTTAATTGACTCAATCAAATCTTTGTCTGAACTTAACACTAGGTATTGGTAAACATATACTCACGTTTATCGTTCTGAGGGCGGGAAAAATCCAAGGGCTTTTTTCGAGCTTCCAAAAGAAAAAGTTCAGCAGAACTGTAAGTAATGTTGCTTACGATTTTATTCAAATTTTTGGGTTTTTCTTATTCGATTTCCATCGACCAGCTTCTTATATTTAAGTACTATTTCTCATCTGTTGGTATTATGTACTCGTATAACATTCGTAATGCATCAATAAAATATTACAATAAAGTGAAATAACAGCACTTTAAGGCTGAGGTTGTAGTGTGACATCGCTCTTAATAACATTGTATGAGAAAAGAAATCGATTTACAGCGAGCTTAATTGACCATATCTTATACAATCCACGCGCAGTAAGGAAATCAGATTTTTGTAAGCTTATCTTATGTGAATTGTGCAATAGAGGCGGGATTAATGGAGAGTTGCTGCCTGGTAAAAAAAAACCTGTAATTAAGGCAAATAAGATACGGACAGCATTTTCCGAAGGATAAATGAATTTAAAGGGGTAAATGCGCACTAAATTTAAGCCTTTGTATTAATGTAGTTATGTATTTTATTTATTTTTTGTTATTATATGGCCTTATAATAATTATATCCAACAATTTTCATTGAGCTCAAGGCCGTTTTTAATGAAAAACTTTTTGTGGAAAAGTAACAATAATCTGAAAAAAGGGTAGAAGTGATAGCTATTTCGGAAACCACCTCATTTCCTCATCAGACCTCTTTCAGTAGGATTCGAACCGACGATTCCACTGACTCAGCCAGTAGTTATGTATTTTATTTATTTTTATAGTTGTACATAAAATACATAAACTTTTCGCGTAAAAGGAAATTAAATTTTCCGGCTTTTTCGATGTTTTTAAGCATGTGTGGTTTGGCCACTAGCACTTTAAAGCGAGAATGCATTGTTACTCGTTTTATGCCTTTGCTGATGCACATAGTCATACATGTATGTCCATACATATGTATGTATGTATGTACATTTACATATGTATACATTCGCACACCTTTGCTTGCCGCACGTTCGTCACATTTTGATTCAATTTACCTGCAGATTTGCAATTTACTGCATCAGCTTTCACTTTGACGGCATCAACGGCATCGACCAAAGGCAACCAGCGAGCCTACATTAAGCCGTCATTTGCTATATGTATACGCAACTTAAACTTTATGTGAGTCCTTAGCCGCTTTAGTTGCCTACTCTTTACCAACTTGGTTAGCCAACGTCATTCGCACGTTTCAGCCATCGCAAAACAACTATAATATTCATACGCATTTTGGTGTGAGAGTGTTGAGATAAAGTTGTTGTGGAATCATTAAAACATACCTTTGAGTGTATATTAGGGTGGTCCACAAATGCATGTGGGGAAGTAATGTCGGAATTTTTATGATCTCACCCCGTTGGATTGTTCTATACCGAAAGATATATACCACTACTTCCTTTTAGGTTGAAATAAAAAAATATTTAGAGATCGGTCAAAGCGCTCAAAGTTTGCCATGTACATATTTTATATGAGAAAAAAAGCTTGTCGTTGAAATTGTATGGAATTATTAACAAGTAATTTTTAAACAGAAAACAAAACCGACTTCAATTATCATATACAAATTTAGGATTGTCGGTAATTACTTTCGGTTTACGTCGTCCAAAGTTATGCGGTAACATACATAAAAAAAATGAAAATATGCCGACGAACTGATAACCTCCTCCTTTTTTGAAGTCGGTTAAAAATCAATATTTTTCAGTCGGAAAACTGTGCTCCTCTGCAGGGCATTCTGTGTAATAATACTCAATTGTTCACTTAACCATTTTTTCTTAGTAAGAATAGTTTAGCGGCCCGCCAAAAGCCCCAAAAAATACAATGAGGGCACCGATAAAAAATCGTTAGTATTAAAAAATGGTTAAATAAACAATGGGGTATTCTTATTAGAAGTCTCCTGAAGAGAACCAGAGTTTTCCGATCGAAAAATATTGAATTTCAAGAATTCTATACCATTTTTACCAAACTTTGAGCACTTTGAGCGACCCGTATATATTTTTTGATTTCATAATAAAATAGGGGTATTTTTTTCGATATAGCACAATCCTAGGGGGTGAAAGCATTAAAATTCCGACTTTACATTTTTCTGCACCACCCTAGCGTACATAGGCGTACACGGAGTCTTTGAACAAGTATACTCTCAGAAATGTATATGTATACATAAGTAAAAGCACATTAGGGTGATCCACGAATATACAGGAAAGTCAACTTTTTGGAATTTTCAGCTGTCATCCACTAGGGGCCTGGAACTTTTCCATATATTTTACAAACTTTTTTTTTTAACTTGCTATATAGCTATGTATGTATGTAGACGCGTTTGTTTGGGTCAAATCTTAAAATCAATTTTTAGGCACCTTCCCGATGAGCTGGAGACTGGAAACTTCAAACTTAGCTCCGAACTGGATGAGAACACAATATGAAGCATGACTTTATCCGCTAGGTGGTGCCAGAGTCGAGATATTTTAGGAACCCGTAGTTAAAGTCCCATTTGGTTTATATTTGGAAAATATATTATCTACATGGAAGGAAATAACACAACAAAAATGTTGCCGCTAAGTGGCGTGGGAGTCCAAATTGTTTGAAAACCCTTCATCAATGGTCAGATGAAGTTGAGATGCATTTACAACACATACATATTACCTACATGAAAAGGAATAACGCGCAAAAAATGTTACCGATAGATGGCGTAGAAGTTGGTTGGTTCATGTTAAGAAATCTTGTTTTAAAACTGTTACTGTTAACTATTAATTAATTTGTTGGGATAAATTAGTATTTTAAAATTATAATTTAAACGAATAAGAATAAATACATATGTAAAGTTAAAACTTAAACGAATAAACAAAATTTTTATATTTTAAGAAGATTTCTGAAAATTTATTTTCCCCGTGTAAAATACAAGGAAAACTTCAAAGTCCCGGCGGGCACGGTCAAATATCAACCGAATTAAAAAAAAAAAAGTATTTTTGGACCAGCCTAATGCACGTGCACATACCTCTGTATATGTACGTCTGTATATTCAGTTGCAGTTGTTATGCTGTCACTGGTGTGATGAAAAAAATATGAATAAAAAAACGTAATTTTGCCTGCGGCATAATTGCCTTATTATTACAGGTACAACTGAGACTACTTCCTATACAGGATGTGAATAACAGGAAAGTTGTCGTCAACTTTTAACGACCATCCATGTCAGAGTCTGACATGTAATGGCGAGGCAAGTGGACATGTTATAGAAACATATACACATACTTACATGCAAACTGACATATGCATTGTACACTGCCGATCAAAACTGAGTGCATGGTGATTTTTGTTAAATATTTTCGTGGCTTTTTAGGCAAAATATTTTTTTGTTATTTTTTTTTTATATAAATATGGTTCAAGCTTTAACCAAATACTCATAGGCCAAATTTTTAAGATTTATACAGAATTAAGAAAAATTCAAAACATTTGCATACAAATTTTGAAGTTTCTGATGTGAATTTTTGTAAATTTTTGGGTATGCTGTTACATGTCCTACAAAGTTTTAGAAAAACAAGTTAAGTTTAAAACGGCTGGAGAATCTCGTTGATTTTTAATACGTTTTTGTACATATAACAAGTGCAATTTATAAAAACTAGCGTTGTTTTTTAAATTTTTATTTTCCGTGTTTTATTCTACAAGAAATTCATGTTTATATGGATAAAAATGCAAAAAGCCGTTAGCAAAAAAAATTAAAAACCAACCCGATTTTTAGCCATTTAAAAGTTGCACTTGTTTTAACTACTATAATTTCATATGCCATATAACTGCCAACCGGAAAATTTAAAAAAAAAATCATATTTAAAATTTCCACATTTTGATGAAAATCTGTTGAATTTTTCTGAATTCTGTATAAAGCCTAACAGGCTAACCTAATATTCACGCACGCCGCCAATTTATTGTCAACAATTTCTCATGCACATGCAACTTGTACGAGATCAACCGAAATTTAACGGCGTGCATATGAAGCTAACTCAATTTCCAATTTTTGTTCTGCGTGACATTTTGATTTGTCGTTTCGCTCAATGAAATCAAATGTAAACGCATGCAAGTCAATTTCGGGTGACGCAAAAACACAAATTCGACGGCATGCGTACCAAAACGCAAGCCGCGAATATTAGGTTAGCCTGTAATAGTCTCATTTATGTGGGTTCGGTTAATGAAATAACAAACTAACATTATTGTAATAAAAAAATAAAAAAAATTTAACTAGAAAAACACGGCAAATATTTAACAAAAATCACCATGGACTCACTTTTGATTGTCAGTGTCTATATAATACATACCTGCGTATAAATATTGATATGTACATTGCTTGCGAACTAGTCTCTGTTTGCTTTAGCTTATTTCATAAATTGTAATTCATTAACTGACATTCGCCTGCCAAGGTTTAATTAATTTTCTATCCATGGGATTATTGTCAATAAGAGCAAGAGTTTCATATACATAAGTACTAACATAAATATACATTAGACCGCACCAAAATAAAAAGTTCGCCATATACCTTCGAATTTAAAGTAATTTTGCAAAGCAAAAAAGTATTCGCATTTTTTAAGTTTTCGTCATTTCGTCAGTCAGCTCAGTGTGGTATACCGATGTTCTTGTCTCGAGGAGAAATGTTTTTTATTATAAAGTTCATTGACCTCAAGCAACCCGTTCTTTGTGCTTGGCCACCAGATCTCAGTTCTTATCATCCTAATGTACCACACTCAGTAAATTACAGCTCACCAAAAATTATTATGCTTGCACTAAGTAAATATTTCGGCCTTTCCCGTAAAAAAAAATAGTATTCCCGAATGTAGATGTCGCCGGAAAAATATATTTTTTTTTTCTTGAAATTGCTTTGTGTACGGCGAACTTTTTTGTTTGCTTTCAAAGTGGTATGGTCTAATATAAATACATATTAAGACATACTATGATTTGATATTCAACTTTCGGATTGTAAACATATTCGGATTCTAACTTTATTTATTAATAATAACTTCGTAAATACAGTTTGCGAAGTTCTATTTTGCTTATAATTTTCGTTACTTTAACCTACCTCCTACCAGTTTTCGAGATGCACTTTTTGCAGGTTTGAAATGAATTGCTAGTTCTTGTTGTGTGGCATAGCCATCAGAACTTTTGTTCGTTAAAGTACTTGATAAATTCTTACATGTTTGGCACGCAACAGTTCATCGTTGAAATTAAATCTCTTCCTGCTTGACCGCACGGACTGGTCTGTTATTTCGTAATACTCTAGGTCACTTTTCTGGCTGTTTTAGTCTTTCTGGCTACTACTAATCATGTTAGTTTGTCACTGAACCCAAGGCTTGCAATGGTTTCCACACGCAGGAAATTTTAGAAGTTCTTAAATAAAAATTAAAAAAAAACCGTCCCAATGCTAATTGCAGCGTAGTGCGGTCAGCCTTGGCAATTTCATGCGTATACATTTTGGTAAGTGTATATTTTTTTTTGTTTCCTGGCGTGCATTAAAATACATATCTCCGACGCTATTTGACCATTCTTCGAACATTCACCGCCCTTTCTTAATTTTGTCAGTTTATCGATTAAACAAAAATAGTAGCTTGTTACACGAATTTACGTTTGTCAGCTGTGGCCTTCGGAAGGACCAATAAAGAATTTCAATAGTATGGGTACGTACGTGTGCGTGGATTGTGTGCAATTTCGTACGAGTTTATTGTTGCATACTTTTAGGCGATGCACCATTAAAGATCTTATGGCAGTGTTTCGCTGTGAAAATGAGTAGGCGTCTGTACCGGATATATGGTCAGTCATATAAAAATTTTTTTTTTTTTTCTTATATAGTCGTTTTTCGAGTCTGGTTAATACCAAGTATAGCCCATGGGTTCCTAGTCGAATGATGTTTTCGCCAAAGCTTCATGTTCAAGCCAACGCAATATTTTTCATTTTATACGCTACGTTGAGAGAGGGTTTTATTTTCAAAAGTAGTCCCTGCGAAAACTATATTACGCTTGATATCCAGGTGGTTCTTATTGGTAGTATTAAATTAATTACCCGGTTGGAAACAAAACTCGATTTTTGACAGGCGCTGGTCAGATTTTCTTGCTTTACCGCCTTGTGCCCAACAAGAAAAAACTATCGAGGCGCTAGAAACAAAAGAAACGCTCGCTCTAAGCAGCCACTGTCCACTGATTCAGGACAGCTTCCATCTAATGAACTGTCGAATTACTAATCACAATTCTCGTAAAGTCCCTAATTTACCATTGTATCACAGCGACTTGCCAGAACTTATCCTGGTGGTGACAAGGAAATCAATATCAGGAATATCTAGCCAGAACCAGGATATGTTAGATACCGATTCAAGTCCGAGAACTAAGAGCCATTACTTTTTCAAGTGAACCTCTCCAGCTGCAGAAATGAAAATCTCTGGTAAGTGCTGGTATGCTGAAGCCAGTCTAACCTCTGAAAGTTTAGCTTCGGACAAAATACCCCGTGTTGTGATGGTTTATTATTGTATGGCTGTCACTTTCCAGATCTTGTCCTGGCGCACAGTGGAAGAGCTCCGTATGAAATGTGGCAAAAGGTAGTAAATGTATTCCGATTTTGCTGAAAATTGTAACGTTGTATGAAAAATGGTTGAATTTAGCGGACCTGCACGCCCTCCACACTAGTGGCGGATATAGTAAATTTTAACCGATTTCAATGCAATTCGATTTGTAACTTAGCTTAACCTAGGAAGACGTAAATATGAAAGAAGGGAAAAATTTGGTAAGTTTTTTAGAAATTGCATACAAAGATCTGGCAAGCTTGTGCTGGATTCGTGGCATTTTTTTCAAAGTGTAATAATTTGAATCAGCTCTGAGTTTGTTAAATAGCAATAGTGACGCACATCCGTACTGGGATCCGGGTCACATCGGTGTCAAGGGCAACGAAGAGGCTGACAGGCTAGCCAATAAGGGTGCTTTGTCGGGAACTATGCTGATAGAGGAAGTGCCGGTTTGCCTCCAAGTGACTAAACGGCAATTTGACCTGTCCATGATCCGGAAAGCGCAGAAGGCGTGGAGCAAAACGCAAGGCTGCAAAGTGTCCAGGGTTACGTGCAGAGCGTATAACATGAAGCTCACTAAGTTTCTCTTTTCCCTCAAGAGGGAGGACGCTAGGCTACTAGTGGGTGTACTAACTGGACATTGCCGGCTGGCATCGCACGCCTATAAACTGTCTTTGTGAAACGTGTCCTGCCCTTAGTAGATTGTGGGTTAGTCTACTGAGCAGGTTTTCTACCTAATCTCGAACTCACCACCAAGGTAGGGTATAACAAATTGTTCCAGTTTGCCAACAGGACTGCGATGTTCTTCAACGTTGCTTCTGGTACGTAGTGATTAGCTGTCCAAAGTGGTCGTAGTTTATCTGGTGACGCTATGGACCATAATGGTCTCTGCGGAGCCACGTAGTGGCTGGTCAGCATATCTAACCTAACCTAATAATTTGTAAGAAAAAAATAACACCCACACACAAAAGAAAGGTGGTGTATGTTGTTAACCAGACCCACCTACCCGCTGAACCTCAATCTGAGGTCCGTTTGTCCCGTATACCCTCAGAATTTCGAGAAAATTGCGAAATTTTCGAAAAAAAATATAAAAAATTCTTAAGTCCGTACTAGTGCAGAATTATTCTCGCAGTCATTCGTTGTTGTTAGCAAATCATAGGTCAGTATCTCTGCTTACTCAAAATAGAAAAAAACCAACTTAACTTCGGTTCTTGTATACTCTGAATACTACTAAAACTTGTAGCATTGCTACTCTTTGAGTGGCAAAATTCTTTTACTTCGCTTTGATTTCCGTTTCCTACTTCAAATCGATTTCGTGCACAATTTTTTATGCCCTTCGTATTTCGCGTTAATTCATTTTTACGTACGAATAACGCGAAAAGCTATAAAATCGTAGCTAAAATAAAACAGCAAACATCCAGTCAGGGGAAGTTTAACATGACGGCCTACTCTACGAGCTGTTAGCAGCTGCGGCTTGTAAAAATTTCCACCATTTCAAAGAGATAAGATCATTTCAAGTGCCTTTCCTATTCGTTTTTTTTTTATGTAAATTCATACAGTGGAAATCTGGCTGCCTACCAACGAAATGTATTTCATTCACGCCAGCTGCACCCGTTCCTAATCGTTTGGGTAGTTTGCTCATGTTTTTTACGAAAATTCCGTTGCATACGAACTGCCTTTATTTGAAATATTGTATTTGTATGGCGGACGTGGCCAGAAACCGACCGTAAAAAAGAAAAAGAACCTTACCAACGGCGCAAAATTTACAGACCAGCAGACCACTCATCTAACCGGTAAAAACACTCGAGCGTCCTATCAAATTTTACATTCAACCAATTTACCACCTAAACATCCACATCCGCTTATGACACCGCGCGTACCCTTTCCACCTCTCTCTCTCTATCTCTGTGCTCCCCACGTAAAACCACACTCATTTGCAGCGCTCATTTGTAACCGCTGACCACACCTATTCGTACCCGCATCGTTACAACCTTGACCCTCATCTCCACCCTTCGCTAAGCTTGCCATTAATTTTGCTGCTATTCCGCTGGTTCCCTTTTCAATTTTCCTGCTCTTTATGATCCGTTGAGTTTAAA